ACAGGCAGACTGACTGAAACACAGTGTTGAAGGGAGCAGCAGGAAAGGAAAGGCCTGCATCACCATATATTTCAACTCCCTGGCCAGGGATGGAACTGCTGCAGATAGCCTGATAGTGCTGACACTTAACCTCCTGAGCCACCAGGGAAGCCCTAAGAGTGCTAAAATCTGAGAACCCACTATAGTCCTCAATCCCAAGTGGCACTGTAGGTGTAAAAGACAAAAACAAATAAAATTAATTTTTTAGGTATTATGTTGGAGGTTGTTTTTTCCTTTTGGAGGTTTTAGTTGTATATTTCACTTTGCAATTTAACCCACCCATTATAAAGAGGAGTTAGCTAGTTAAAAAATTTGTGCCCTAGTAAGTGACAGAACCAGAATAACAACACCAGTCTCTCTCTCAAATTCACATTTACCATACCAAAAAAATAAAGCCAACTGTGTAGAAAGCCATAGTTAATGTTAAACATAACTTGGTAACAGATGCTTAGCAAGTGGAAAGCCAGGAATCAGAAATCCAACACTTGAATGAACGGCCATTGTGTTGCAGGGGCTAAAGGTTTATTTAATAATGAATAAATATAAAGAGATGATGTAAAAATATTTTTTTGAAGCCTATATTTTTACCTTAGGTCATTAATATGTAATTTGTGATTGCCAAGTGGCCCAACCACATGGCATAGCAGACCTCTTCTATCTTTCCTGCTGCTTCCCTCAGCAGTGTGTTTCAGTAGCTCCCTACTCTGTCTCTGATGTTTCTACTCAGCTATGTAAAAACAAAAAAGATAAAATCTTGCTATTTGGGACATGTATGATGCTAAGTGAAATAACTCAGAAGGAGAAAGACAAATGTCAGATGATAGAGTAGAATATAGATAAACAAAAGAAAGGAACAGAAAACGAAAACAAAATAAATAAATCTATCTGTAAAACTGAAGCTAACAGAGGGGAAAGGTGCATAATGAGGAGGGGATCCAATGCGCTGTGGTGGATTAGGGGTGCTTTGTTGATGGACACCAGTATTGTAACATATATCTGAAGAGTTTGTAATACCAAACTATTTACAATGTTGCAGATCATTTTTACCTCAATAAAAATAATATATAATAATAATAATATAATAATAAGAAACAACTAAGGTTTTTATGACACAGCAAAATGTTTGGGAAACACTCTTAGATAAGGGATGCATCTTAAACTTCAATCTAAATGAGGTAAATGGATATTCTGCATATATTACTGTTTCAACTAATTCACAGATACCCACATTAATCTTTATATATATGTGTGTGTGTGTGTGTATGTACCACCCTTTGTAATGTGACTTCGTCTCTTCTCCATCAAGATGCAGAATTTATTTTCCATAAACAAACTACACTGACATTGGCCCCATGTTCTGTTTCAACAACAGAATGAAGCAGAAATGACATTGTGCTATTTGGGAGTTTGGAATTCAAGAAGCCTCGTAACTTTAACTCATGATCTCTTGGTAACCAGAAGCTATGTAAAGAAGCCTGTGATCATTATCTTGGCATAGAAACACATTCCAGCCAGTAACCACCACCAGCACTTGGAGGATGATCGCTAGCTCCCCCAGCCTCAATCAAACCATCAGATGATTACATGCATGTGAATCAATCTAGGCAAGGTCAGCATAAGAACCACCCAGCTGAACTAGTCCAAACTGTTACTCATAGAATTGCTGAGTAAATAACTCACTGTTATCTTAAGTAACTAAATTTTGGAGTGGCTTATTATGCAAAACAAGGTTGTAATAAATATAGTAAGGATTATTACAAGATTTGAAAATCAATCATTGGGTTTGAATTGGTTTTCAAATTACTAGTATTTACTAAATGAGTACCATATCAGGGGATTTAAGGTAGGTGCAGAAAGTGAGCCAAAATTTGTCAAGTCTGACCACTGCCCTTCAGATACATTAATAATCTATATCAGCAGGTGGTAAAGTATTTAACTATCATGTAAGATGATATATTAGAAGAGGCATAGAATGAAACAACTACATTGTCATAGAAATTAAAAAAATGGATTTCTGTTAAAGGTGATACAGAGGGTTTTATCAATAAGGTAACATTAGAGTTAAGCCTTGCAGTACTTCGACAGTATAGGAGAGATGTGAAGCCATACTAGGTGACAGAAAAAGTCAGAATCATAATAATCCTGGCAAAGGGGAATGAACACTCAGAAAACTGCCAGCAGTTCATTTTAGTTGGATTGTGGTATGTGCATAGATGTTGAAGAATCAATTCTTCAACTAATGTCAAGCAGCAGCATTAATTTCAGGTACTGCCTACTATTCTGTTATTGTGTAATAATGTGAAAGTGGAGCCATAGATGTAGAAGTTGAGTCCCAGTTCAAAATCACAGGAAGTGGTGGAACAGGGATTTGAATGTAATCAGTCTGATTCCAGACCCACTCTACTATTTGGCCATAGCTTGGTCAAGTTAAAAAGTTAGTTACATTAAAAAAAAAAAAAAAGATGTGGAGGGGTGGGCCCAATCTATGGTACAAAAGCTTAAGGTGCAGCACTGTGAAGCTATCCACAGCCATTGCAGCAGAAGTTGGATCCCCAGCCAGGGAGGTGACCCACATGGTGCAGCAGACCTCTCCTGACCCATGCACTGCTCCCCTCAGCAGTGTACTTTGTTAGTCTGCTTGTTCTGCTCCCCACTCTGTCTCTGGTGAATTCTTTCACCTCCTCCACCTCTGCCCTGACCCCAATTCTTATATGCATAAATAAATAATAATAATAAAAAGAATATATGCAGTGGTCCTCCCTTGTGGCATAGGAGTTAATTTTCGCGCTGTCACCTCTATGGCCTGAGTTTGATCCCTGGCCAAGTAGCTAACTTACATATGGTGCAGCAGACCTCTCCTGTCTTGTCTGCTGCTCCCCTCAGCAGTGTATTTCAGTTAATTCATTGGTTCTGCTCCCCACTCTGTCTCTTGTAAATCCTTTCGTCTTCCTACCACCTGACCCCACACCTTGGGTCTATACCCCAGTTATTGTATGCATAAATTAATAAATCCTTTTTTAAAAATTAAATGTGCTGCAAAAGAGTGTATTTTAGAAAGAGAATCCTGAATAAATAAGCTTAGAGACATAAAAATGGAAGGGAGCAGGAAAATAGGGAGCAGCTCATTTCTTCTTTTTTTAATTAAAAAAAAAGTAGTTATTCATTTATTTATTTATACTTACAAGATTGGGGTGTAAGCCAGAGGTGCAGGAAGTGCAAACACTCACCAGAGATAGAGTGGCCGTTCAGAACAGGCAGACTACTGAAATACACTGCTGAGGGTAGCAGGGGGGAGACAGGAAAGGTCTGCTGTGCCTGTGCTCCCTGGCCAGGGATTGAACTCATGCTGTTGTGGCTAGCCATGGCTTGATAGCACTGAGACTAGGGAGGGTTGGGAGTAGGTCTATTTTGCAATAGCCTATGATATTTGTAGGGGGGTAGTGGTGGATAATATTAAAGTTGGCTAGAATGTGGAAATTCTTGGAAACTGCCACGAAACATTTGTAACCACACATATCAATAATGAAGCCTCTGTGTCAATTAGATTTTATTTGTTTTAGGCAACAAGAAACAATTATGACTAATTCAAGGAAAAAGACAAAGTAGAGAGGAAAAAGATACGGAGATAGATGAAGAAAGACTGGAGAGGAGAGAGAGAAACAGAAAGAGGATATAGAGGACAGCTTATTGGATAAGTTACATCAAGAGACTAGTTCAGGAAACTGGCAGCTCTGAATAAGGTGAATGAACAGACTAGCTCTTTAGAGCACTTAGCTCCTACTACTCTCTATCACAGTGTCTCCTTCCAAGATTCCATTTCCCGGGAGAGTTTGTTTGACCTAGTGCTTATACCTCTGTGATCTGGTAGGCAGGGTTCTGGCTGATTAGAATACAGGCAGCTGAGGCGATTAGGTAGTTCCCCAAAGGATGGGACGCCAGACAGATTTTTTTTTTTTAATTATTTTATGGGCCCTCCCTGGTGGCGCAGCGGGTTAAAGTACAGCACCAAGAAGCTTAAGCCACTCCCGCATGAGTTCGAGTCCCGCCTGCCCCGAGATCTACATGGCGCAGCAGACTTCTCCTGACCGCCCGCTGCTCCCCTCAGCAGTGTGCTTCGTCGATCTGCCTGTTCTGCTCCCCATTCTGTCTCTGGTGAGTCCTCTCACCCTCCGCATCTCTGGCCTGTACCCCAGTTCTGTATGAATAAATAAATAAATCTTAAAAAATATATTTTATTTATTTACACAAGAATTGGGTCTAAGCCAGAGATGCAGGGGTGGAGGGGGTGAAAGGATTCACCATAATCAGAGTGCGGAGCAGAACAGGCAGATCTACTGAAATACATTGTAGAGTGGGGTGGGTATTAGGTGAGACCGGAGAGGGTTAGCCCCATGGCTGGGGCTCAAACTCATGCCACAGTGGCTGGTTGATAGCTTGGTAGCGCAAAAACACTGGAATCGTTGGCCTCGTCTTTGTAACTGCTTCTCTCTCAAATAAAATCCCAGACTGGTACCCACTGCTTATGAGATGAAACTCAGATTCAATCACTTGGCAGAAGATTTGGATTTGGACAGAAAATCCTGAGAGAAATATAAACAATGATACAGCGAAATAGGAGTCCGGCGAACTAGCCAAGCAACCTAAAGACGTACAAGCACCTTCCGTGGGCTGAGGACCAACAATCCAGGATAGGAGCTCCCGGGGCGAAGCAGTCGGCAGAGCGATTGGGCCCAGCGGGTGACAAAATTCGAACTGCACACTGGGAACTGTAGTTCGATGGGTCAGAGACTGAGCGGCGCTCACCGCACACGCGCACAAGGCGCTCAGAGCAACAAAGACGGCGGCTTGCGCGTGCGCGCCAGAAAAAAAACCACACACAAAAAAAACCACTAAAGGCTGCGCGTGCGCACGTGACCTCCGCTCTGCGCTACCCGGTGGCTGAAAGGACGGAGAGAGGGAGGGGCAGGTGCTGGCGACCGCAGAAAGGGAAAAGGGGTTGTGCTCCGGGACGATCGGGGCGAAAGGGGCGGGGCCGGGGAGCAGCTCGCCGAGGTACCGAGCTCCAGCGACCCGCGGGCGTGTGAGGGTCTGTGGCCCTCGGCGTCCCAGTGGCCGCCGCCGTCGCTTGGTCGCCCTCAGTCTGCGGGAGGCGGGTTATGGCGGCGGCCGTAGTCGGAGCTGTGAATGAATTCTCCAGGTGGACGAGGGAAGAAGAAAGGCTCCGGCGGCCCCAGCAGCTCGGTGCCTCCCAGGCCTCCGCCCCCCTGCCTGGCCCCCGGCCGCCCCGCCCCCGGGCCGGCCCCTCCGCCGGAGTCGCCGCATAAGCGGAACCTGTACTACTTCTCCTACCCGCTGGTCCTCGGCTTCGCGCTGCTGCGTTTGGTCGCCTTCCACCTGGGGCTCCTCTTCGTGTGGCTCTGCCAGCGCTTCTCCCGCGCCCTCATGGCCGCCAAGAGGAGCTCCCGGGCCGCCCCGGCGCCAGCGTCGGCTTCGCCCCCGACGCCGGTGCCGGGCGGGGAGGCCGAGAGCGTCCGAGCGTTCCACAAACAGGCCTTCGAGTACATCTCCATTGCTCTGCGCATCGATGAGGACGAGAAAGGTAACTGGGGGACTGGGAGGAGTGGGCGGCGGCGCCGGCGCCTGGAAGAAAGCGGTGGGTTTGCCGCGGGAGGGCGACATCTGTGTCACCAGAATTGATGTACCCCTCGACATTGGTTGCCGAGGAGCCAGAGCCCCATCCTTTACGGTTCACGGTTGAACCTCGCCTCTTTCAGGGGCATCCTCGCTGTTGACCTTGCACAGCCTTCCCTACACTTTTGCATGACTCAAGTCCCTATGCGACACCCAAACGTGCAGGTGACAGTGACAGTTGTCCTGGAGTGACCACACGGATTCTTGCTAGCACTGTAAACAGTGTGTGGCTTCCTTTGAGCCAGGTTTCCAAAAGGTCTTGATATCGAAGAAGCCGTGCCTTGCCATGCAGGCTTTTAATGAAAGCAGTACTGTCATGTCAGAAAAGAAAGAACAAATGACTTAATTTTGAAAGGAACAGCTGCATATGATTCCAGCGGAATTAGTGATATTTTTAAGTTTGGTGGCAACCATTTCATCGCTATGACTCCAAAGTATTCTTCAGTTAGGTTTTAGTTTAGCCGCAGATTTTTGGTTTTGTTCTTGATTTGTACTGATGTTACTTAAATTAGTGTTAAAAGATAGCCTCTCACTTGTTAAGTGAATGAATAGAATAAATTTGCACATTTCTGAATGAAAGCAAGAATTACATATTTCTGATTTCTTTTTATTTAGCAAATATGTTTCAGTCTGTGTACCAGGCATCATGTTATTAGCTCTGCATGTATATTATACTATTTAATCCTCAGTATAACCCCATGAGGTGAAGGTACTTTTAGTATCAGCATTTTACAAATGGACAAATTGAGTTCAAATGATTGAAGTTGGCCGGCCATTCCAGAGTACTAATTGCTGGGGGTGGGGGAGAGAATTTAGTTAGATGGAGATAATGTAGTTAGATGGAGTTTTAAAATATATTAAAAAGCCTGTCTTTTCAATCTTCTAGTATGCTGAGATCTTTTTCTCTAACTGCCACAGAACATGTTTCCACACCTCAATTTGCTTATTAGTTTAAAACAACAATAACAACAACAATCTCAAGTTAATTTGTAGTATCTCTGTCAACCAACTCCAGAAATTGTTCTAGAACTTCAGTTTTGTTTGAGACCTGTTTCTCTTGTGGAGCTTAGGAGTAGGAAATAGGATATAATATGCTACTATTCGTCGTTTTGGGGTATAAGGACAGTGGAGGTTGGGGGCTTCAAACAGAGAGGCAAATTAAATAAAAGAATATTATATATTTGTAGAAGGATCTTTTTTGCTTAACTGCTTCATTAGTTACCATTTCTTAGGAGCACCCAAAGATCTGTAGAGAGGCTCAGTTTTATTGCATTATCCTACTACCGTTGGGTTCTATGAAACTTCCTAGTTTGGGTTGAAAGATATTTTAGAGTAGAGGAAATATATTTAAAGGTAGATTAATTGTATTTAGCAGACTAAATACAACAAAATTTTAATTAACACTGGGTGTAAAAAGGAAAGGTTAAAGAAATTATGCTTTATAAAAAAAGGGGGGGGGCTCATGTTTATTGTTGCTTTATTTACAATAGGAAAGGCATGG